CGGGTGTGCACCAATCATGGTCCAATTGACAAACATTAACTATTGATGAGAAAAATTGAAAGCATGTAACCACTAGAAACTTCTATCTATTATGATTAGATAATTCACAAGTACGATTGTCAATTATATTTATTTCATATTTTAAAAAAATTTCCCGAAAAGTAATTTTGTTTGTATTCAAACCAAAAATGAAATGATAAAAATTGATTATGGGCCACAACAACATATTAAATCTTATACATTAGCCAAAATGTACAATATATATTACTAAATCTAAAAAAAAAATTAAAAAAGAAGAAAATTATTCAAATAAGTAAATTAAAAAAAATGACAAATAACCTATAATGATATTTTGAGTATAAAAATCTGCCCAAAAAAAAAAAAGATACATGCATTGTTAGTATATTTTATAAAAATAAAAGGAAAAAAACATAAATCAAAATTGGAATTAGAAATTACCTCATTAAATGATATTTCAAGGTTAATAATTTGTAAAAAATATTGTTAGTAGATCAAATACAAGTAATTTCATAATATAGAAACAAAACTATATGAAAAAAAAAGGGGGGGAAAAACTTGAGATGAAATAATGTAAAAACAATGAAAGAAGGTGAAAAACTTTGAAGAAAGGGAAAAGACCAAGAATTAGAAAGGTAGAAGGGGAAAAGACTTAGAAAGGTAAAAGGAAAGACAGAAGATGAGGAAAGGTAAAAGAGAGAACAAATAAAAAGGTAGAAGGAGAGAAAGAAGATGAAGAGAGGTAGAAGAGAAACGGTTAAATACCCTTTTTGGTGCTTCTAGTATTGAAAAAAGTCTCTTTTTGGTCTCTGTATTGAAAAAATCCCTTTTTTGGTCTCTGTATTGAAAAAATCCCTTTTTTGGTCTTTCAAATTTGAAATCCGACCCCTTTTTCATCCCTCCATTAAATTTTTACTTATTTGTCATGTTAATTAATTGAATCACTTGATTATTTTTTATAGAAATGATATTATAAATGATGTGGAAATTAGGTGGTTGAAATTATAAATATATGTAAACATTTCATCTAAATATTTTGGGCCATTTGTCAAATTAAAAATTTTACTTCTAAATTCATGAATTAAATGAATTTAAACATAATTAACTTTAATTTCTTCATCTTTTTCTTTCAAGTCATCCTTATCCTCATCCTCGGCATCATCATGTCATCATTTATCTTCACCATCCTCTTCGCCATCCTAGGTTCCTTGTGGAACCCACGTGCTGGGTTCATGGAACCTGGATCTGGGTTCCTCAAATCCAATTTTTGGGTTTTGCGAAACCCAAGTTTAGGGTTCATTACGAAACCCAAATCATGTTTGATATTTGGGTTTGAAAATGTGGGTGATAGGTTCATGTTGCTATGAACTTCATAACTTGTTTCATATATGACTTAGATTCAACAGGAAGAAAGGGTTGTAAATCTAAAATTAGAGAAAGAGTAAACAGAAGGATCTGTTTTGTAGAGGAGAAGTTAGGGCTTACAGTTGATAAATCACTTTAATTAGTAATTAATTTTTTTTTTTATCAATGAAAATATTCCTATGAATTTTCAATTATATCTTGACCAATCTCACATGTAAATGGTTCATTATGAACAAAAAACAAGAATTTCGAAAAAAGGAAGATGATTAGGGTTTTTTGCATTTCAAAATATGGGTTTCATCGATTAGGGTTTTTTTTTTTTTCGCAAGGAGAGTGACATGAAGGGGTGTTATTAAGTCCACGTAAGTGCCTTTATATTGTGGAATATCCATGTCAGATGTTTTTGTTAAGATAGTGTGCCATGCAAGCAAAAATTAACAGAGGGACTAAAAAAGGGTTGAATTTCAAACTTTACGAACCAAAAAGGAGATTTTTTTTAGTACAAGGACCAAAAAAGGGCTTTTTTTAATAATAGATGGACAAAAAGGGGTATTTGACCAAGAGAAAATGGGGTGCACACCTGTATGATAAGGGAGGAAATGAGAGGTAGGAGAAGAAAAAAAGTTCACTGGTTCTTTCTGAGTCTAGATATTTATAAAGACAATATAACTGGCAACAATTATATTAATTATGTTAATGTTGTTGTTGGTTATAATTCAAATCTATTACATTGTGAAATTCAACTTTTTTCAAAGGTGCAAGGTGGGATTTATACATAATCAATAGAAAGTCACGGCTGTCGGTTATGTTTTTATAATCAAGAACATTTCTGTCAATTATACTATATAATTGATAGCTGTTAATTTTGTTGATTATGTTTTACTCTTCTATTTTCCCATCACTCAACTAAAATGTAAATATGCTAGATATATATTATATATTGTTGAGGAATGAATTTATATTGCTTTAAAGTTGACAACATGTTCAGCACCACATTAGCGATGGCCCACATGATTTATTTTCTACATCAAACATGCTATTTTATTTTTTACTGATCACTGCATCAGAGTTGGCATTACCAGGAGTGGCATTCATCCACTTTGCTGGAAACATTACAGACACAAGTTGCTCCAGCATCTGTTTCTATATCATGGCCAGACGTGACTACATTTATTTGTACAACATGGCTAGGCCTTTTTTTTTTTTTTTTGGACAGTCATGTTCTCTAGAGCGATGTTCATCGTTACATATTTCAAGTCTTAACGATGGACAAAGAGCCAAATTTGTTATCTCATTTAGTCTCCAGCAATGGGCAAAAAGCTACACATCTCTACATATTTTATCTCACTGGTTCCTGGAAATAGACAAAGAGTCAGCACAACGCCGTATGATTAGTATAAGGCTAGTAATAGTTGCAACCCTGCGAATGGAGGGGTTGGCTACCCCTCAGTAATAAAACCCATCAAGTAGCGGCCAACGATCCCTTGGTGGTTGCCCGTGCATGGTGGTTGCCCGTGCATGGTGGTGCAGTGTCTGACAGGCAACAACAACCAGGATCACCCTCTGATGGTACAAGTACAGCAAGAAGGGTCAGCGTTTGTTAGTAGTATCACACCTTGTTATATCGACGACCATGGATGTGGCTGGCATCCCCTTTCGATGGAGACAACTCCACCTCTCTCTATCACATATTCATCGTTATGGCAAGGTTTGGTTTAGTGAGGTTTACCATTTCACAACTTGGCAGATTAGTAGAAGTGC